CGAGCCGTTTAGATTTGTGCCGCAATGACCTTTGACCCCCAGCTTCGACATCCGAACTCGTTTTCGGATTACACCCAGGCACCCCCACGTCCCGACTTTCGAATCCGTACATCGAGCCGTTTAGATTTGTGCCGCAATGACCTTTGACCCCCAGCTTCGACATCCGAACTCGTTTTCGGATTACACCCAGGCACCCCCACGTCCCGACTTTCGAATCCGTACATCGAGCCGTTTAGATTTGTGCCGCAATGACCTTTGACCCCCAGCTTCGACATCCGAACTCGTTTTCGGATTACACCCAGGCACCCCCACGTCCCGACTTTCGAATCCGTACATCGAGCCGTTTAGATTTGTGCCGCAATGACCTTTGACCCCCAGCTTCGACATCCGAACTCGTTTTCGGATTACACCCAGGCACCCCCACGTCCCGACTTTCGAATCCGTACATCGAGCCGTTTAGATTTGTGCCCCACTGTTGGCGGACGCACGCACGGATGGACGATCATGCGATTCTACAAGCTGCATCTGACTATGTCAGATGAGCTAAATACTTCGAAGACTTATTGTGACAGTTTGGGCAGGTAAACTGCACCAACGTGTACTTATATACTAGTGTCTATTAAAACTACACTATAGCCTCGTCTACACGACGAACCTTAACTCGAGTTAGCGATTATGTAGCGTCTACACAACACCCGATAGCGATTATTACCGATTTATTATGCGTGCATGCGTGCGTGCATGCGTCCGTCCGTGTGTGCACGTATACTATTCGTTAACTCGAGTTAAGGTTCGTCGTGTAGACGAGGCTATTATATACATATCAAGAGTAGATAATAACACGTGTTATTATCTACTCTCGATACATATATAATTACATGCAAATAATAAATGTTGACACGTCAGTTTCCCATTTTCTTTGAATTACGTACCGTCAACATACTGTACTACAAAGTGCATTGTTACCTGGTTGGAAACTTCTAGAAAACTACCATTTCACTTTGGATGTTCAGCTTTTGCTGTAAAATGTGTCTAATGTGATTATAATTTCGTCACGTTGCTTCGCACTGTCACAAGTGTTCACGCAAACAGTATAGAGTACCGAAGTGATGACGTCACGGTGGCATGACAACGAGCCTGCTGGTTCTACACAATCATATGCTCTGGTATTACATTAACTGCGTGTCGTGTTTTGTACCCGATTGTAACCATCATTCTGAGAGTCATTATTGGAGTTTTTATAGATTTCCAAAGGATGGAAGTGAAAAGCAACGGGGGGGGGGGAAGCGAAATGTAACCCAAAAAAATTTTAACCCAAAAAAATTTTTTTTTTTTTTAATTCATTAAACATTGTAAGACCGACTTGCTACCGATGCTTTACCGCTGTCTGCAGCGCACACACTCGTGTTTTACGTACGCACAACATTTTCACGCAGTTAACGTTATGGGAGCCAGTGGCTTGTGTAGAACCAGCCCGTGCGTTGTCTTGCCAACGTGACGTCACACTTCGGTACTCTATATGGATGAGAAAATCTGTGAATCATGAAGTGGCAGAAAGTTGTGCTGTACTGTACAGTACTGTACTACAAAGTGCATTGTTACCTGGTTGGAAACTTCTAGAAAAGAAAAACTACCATTTCACTTTGGATGTTCAGCTTTTGCTGTAAAACGTGTCTAATGTGATTATAATTTCGTCACATTGCTTCGCACTGTCACAAGTGTTCACGCAAACAGTATATGGATGAGAAAATCTGTGAATCATGAAGTGGCAGAAAGTAACACGGATGTCAACATTGCATTATGTCACCACCTATTCAGTTACGTACTGATCACTACAGCGACTACAAGTCAACTCTGGTTAGCTTGTTCACAACCGAGAGAATTTCCTTGTGCAGACGATTTTTCCAACTTGTATAATATTAATGGGAAATCTTTACCATTAGCTCTATAGCTTTATCCCACCTGTTCACATCAAATAGAAACAGATACATGATATCAGTTGTCGGTACGTAGATAGGCAAACATTTTAATTACTAGTGCAATTAAATACAAGTTTTAATTTATTAGTACACTTTACACAATTTACTGCCTCAGGCTCACTTGCAATCGACACTGACGACTCTTGTTTACATGTAATGGCATTCATATATAGACGCAACTAGCAACGACAAGCATGCACTCTACATGCACACAGAAATCAACAATCTTGTCATATATGGTTCCACGAGTTTTATTTCTTCCATTTACAAAACCTCAGCAATGCTGGCACAAATAAAAGTACACCATTCTTTCCTTCGGAACTCTTTCCAATTCCACTTGTGAGTTAATAACCACACTGATAATAAGAGTAAAATAAGCCTATGACCAAACTTCTGACAATTTCCAGTAAATGGGGCAGTTCCCTTACAGTTATCTGATGCGCTACAGACCCGGCATAATCACTTCTTCTTGGATGTAGCCTTTGCAGCAGCCTTAGTAACCTTAGACGAGGCATCAGACTTCTCAACAGCCTTGATGACACCAACAGCAACAGTCTGCCTCATGTCACGGACAGCAAAGCGACCAAGTGGTGGGTATGAAGAGAAGGCCTCAACACACATAGGCTTGCTGGGCTCCATAATAACTATAGCAGCATCACCAGACTTGATAAATTTAGGGTTGTCTTCCACCTTCTTGCCTGATCGACGGTCAACTTTCTCCTGGATCTCGCTGAACTTGCAAGCAATGTGGGCAGTATGGCAATCAAGCACTGGAGCGTATCCCTTCTGGATCTGTCCAGGGTGGTTGAGAATGATAACCTGAAAGAATACATATTTTGCATAGCTTGTAAAACTAATATCATATGATTAAACCATTAAATCAACATTACAAGTATAGCAGAAATTAACCACATAGATAAAAAAATGCGCAAATCTATAGCAGAACTATATACCTGGGCAGTGAAGTTCTTTGCCTCCTTCGGGGGATCATTCTTGGAGTCACCGCAGACGTTACCTCTGCGGACTTCCTTAACAGAGACGTTCTTGATGTTGAAACCAACGTTGTCTCCGGGAAGTGCCTCTTCAAGGGACTCGTGGTGCATCTCTACAGACTTGACTTCTGTTGTGATGTTAGCTGGGGCAAATGTGACGACCATGCCAGGCTTCATGATACCAGTTTCAACTCTGCCAACAGGCACTGTTCCAATGCCTGCAACATATACATTATGTATGGTTAAAACACTGCACATTGGCAACATTCACATTTGAGATGGAAAGCCATCAGTATAGCTATAATGGCTACAGCCCTACAAACAATGTATACACACAGCCCACATAATTTAGCATTAATACTAATACGCAATTAGAAACGTACATTTTGGAATGATTAGAATTGCAAAAATGCCTTACCGCCAATTTTGTAGACATCCTGGAGGGGAAGACGCAAGGCCTTGTCTGTAGGACGTGATGGTGGTAGAATTGCATCAAGAGATTCCAGAAGGGTCATGCCCTTGGCATTGCCCTCCTTGCGCTCAACTTCCCATCCCTTGAACCAGGCCATGTTGGGGGAAGCCTCCAACATGTTGTCACCATGCCAACCAGAAATGGGGACGAAAGGAACATTCTTGGGATTGTAACCAATCTTTTTGATGTAGCTGCTGACCTCACCCACGATTTCCTTGAAACGAGCATCACTGTAGGGTGGCTCAGTAGAGTCCATCTTGTTTACACCTAAATAATGTAAGGTAGCACTAAATGTTACCATTTAAAATAAATTACTTCTTTAAATTTTGTGTTAAAAATATACTATGCAAGGTTTCTTCTGAGGGAAAATTAGACAACAGCGGTAATCGCCAGTTTGGGGAAAAAATGTGCATGATGGATTCAAAGGCGTGCAGTATGCATGAATGTGGATTCTGCAGGCACATGCCAGGGGAGAGAGGTAGAAGGGGGTTCTGAGAGTCTCCCCAGCAAAATTTGAAAAATTTTAATATCTTAGACTGCATTTGAAGCACCCCAAAAATAAAATTTCACCTTTTAGTTTAAATCATACTATGTTAGCAGACCTACCAAGTCTCACGCAATTCGCGGGAGACTCAGGCATGCACTACGCTTTCACGCAAAAGGAAAAAAAACGGAAAAAAAGCAGCCCGTAACACCCCTTACCCACGTCTGTGGCTGTGCACATCGTGGCTCGTGCTTGCTGGCTGGGGCAGCATTGATTGAAGTACGGGGGGGGGGCCGCAAATGCATTGTTTTTTGTTAGTCGCGTGGGCATGCTTATTGCTATATATATAGGGGTGGGCACCACTGGTATGAGGGAGCGACAGCAAAACTTTCCCGGAATCGAGGAAAAAGCTGAAATCAGAAATGACACAGGAGGCCTAGGTTGGGTGACGTCACATGTTGCTACGGGTGTTGAGCAGAGAATATAGTCGTTTACATTTTAAGATAGTTGTAGTATTGTGAACTGCAGTGTATGTAACATCAATGGCTATTGGGAAAGTAATAATAGGCAGCGTAATAAACTGAGAATAACGTATTGATTTTAGGCTTGATATCGCGAACGATAACATGTCATTGCGCTACCAGCGTGCGAGCAAAAAACGCACGCATGCCGTAGAAATCTTTGCTACACCCGCTGTACGGTTGCTTGGCAGAGCAACGCGAAAGTGACAACAACATTGGAGGTATTTTCAAATACCTTTTATAAGACAACGCGCAGTGAAATGGGAGGAACTAGTTTATTTTGTCATAAGGTAATATGATTATGCATGACACGAAGTATTTGCTAGTCTAGTACTGGAGAAATTAGCGTGTAGATGCGCATATTGTGGCTTTAATGGCACGGTAGAAAGTTGAACAGCTGATACGAGTTTGTATACAAAATATATTCATGTTGGGACACAGCACGCAGTTTGTTTTAATTTTTTAAACTTGTGTCAGTTTATTATCAACAAGTGCCGCATTAGCGACAGTGCTCATCTGAGGTCTGCTGCTCTACTGTACTGGCCTTCGTTTCTGCAAAAGGTTGAAAACCTGTTCTATCGCTAAACCGGCTACGTCATCATCAAAACAGTGTAGCATAGGTATTAACACTAAAACTAAACCCTAGTAGGCCTACCAATGCATCCTACTTCATACCTGCTCGACTGTCTTATATATATTCGTGTCATAATGTATCACTAGGCCTATAGTTTCCGCGAGATGGTGCGTGCAAGTGTAATCAATAATCAAAGATGGCATCGACCTTCGTGCATTGGTGATAAGTCAAGAAAGTAGAGATAACCTAATTCCATTGAGTTTCTGAAGTTTACAGGCTAAAATCCAAGTATATTCAGGCAGGCAACAATTTCGCTCAGCTGCGAGTAATAAATTAAACACATCTGCATTGCAGGTGTGCTTGTTTATTCGAAAAGTGCCAGTTCACTCCCATGCATGAGTAATGGGTTGGCCCCGGGTTTTCGCCTACATTTCGGATGACGGTAGCAGGGTTCTCCCCAGGATGAAATTCAAACAGGGGGAGGGGGGAAACTAGGGGGGTCCGGGGGCGTGTATTTTTACGCGTACGACTAATTAATGCGTAAAATCGCCACCACACCATAGACGGTATTTGGGGTTCTTGTATATAAGATAGCCGAGTCGGTGTACCAGTTAGTGACAGGTTAACTGTGGCATTGTCAGGTTTAACTTGTGTACTGTCTGCAGTGCATGCGTGGTACGCGTAAAAATACCACGCGTCGGTGTCCTGGTTGAATGGAATTCTTGACGATCGTCCGCTCGCTGGCAAACTTTTATTTGGTGGATTTAATCCAGGGCGGAGGTATTTTAAACGGGCGCGCGAACGATTGAACACGGTGGGGGGAGTTTTCCCAACAGAGTGGGGCGCGCGCGCCCCATTGCGCAACGTAGGGAGAAACCCTGTAATGGGTTTCCTGCCCATCCCACTATATCACCGAAATATTAAAAGCATAGGTCGAGCCGTTCAGATTTGTGCCGCAATTCCGTATTTCCTCCCATACCTTAAGTAAGGGAAATATTCCACCTCCGTTAACACATCTTGACCTTTGACCCTTGACCCCAAATTGGCCATATCGGAAGTTTTTTCACGACCCCCACCCGTCCAAATATCGTCACGTAAGTCGAGCGGTTAAGATTTGTGCCAACTGTTGACGGACGCACGGACAACATGCGATTCTACAAGTCTGCATGCGGACTTCGTCAGATGAAGCTAAACAAGTGCGCGGAGCGACAGCGTCATCTAACGCTCTACTGCGGTGACTCTGTGGATGAGTGGTGGGATTCTAGTAAACCCTGTTAGTCCTAAATGTGTTCACATACGCGCCGAAACAGTGGAAAGCACAGGGATGGTATCAGGAACTTCAAATGAATGTTCGTTGGATCGTTATGAAGTTGCCACGAGATGGCGCGTACGTTTAAGTGCTCTAAGATTAAAGATGTAAGCTCGCCATCGTACGTAGTAGCAACCAACTATTGCAAGACAGAATAGGCAAGTCCTATCCATTTCCCTACGCAGCCTACAGGTTGAAAATAGAGCGCTTGCCACCTGTAACTAATTAACGCAGGCAAAAACTACACAGTACTATCACCACCACATGCACTGGCATAAGTTACATGTAACACACGGGGAAAGTACAGAATGCCATAGAAATTATACGATTTAAGGAGCATAACCTTTCTCAACAAATTTAGCTTTACTAGTGACATTGTAGCCTCATACATCCAGGCATGTATAGATTCTACTAGCAAACCCCGCAAGTCAAATTCTTTCTAACAGTAAAAACGAATCAATTTTACCCTCCTCTTGAGGGTTCAAAAGGTTATCCGACACTTACTCTTCGCATGTCAGTAGAAAGTACATTTCATGGTCCTTTCAATAAAGCCATAAAAATGCTAGTCACCGCTGAAACAAAAAGTTTCCCAATCGCTCTCGTCAGACCATGTCTAAAATCTGCCCTGTTCCCCATTGACCTTTGACCTGCCAATTTCGGCAACAGTGATGGCTTTTCCTACCTGATGCTATACACGACTATCACGACGAACTGTTGCCGGACACACGGCGGACGGACGCTCATACGATTCTACAAGCTTCATCTGACTATGTCAATGAGCTAACAAGTGCCGCAGAGCGACAGCGCTCACCTGACGCAGGTGTTCTGAAGCTAAACTCACTGGCAAACGAATGAAGAGCACCGTCCGCAGCCCCAGCGTTCGTGCTCGGAGGCATATATCTAGGATACTACTAATACAGATCTAAAATCTATGATAGCTAGGCTTTGCTATACGGTAGTACAGTAATAAAGATACAGCTGTGACTTCGCTATATTAACATGTTATCATGGATATGTGTCGAGCGCGAGCGTAGTGGTGGTGGTGGGGGAGAGTGGGGGAGGGCGCGGTGAAGGATGCTCTATAGCAAAAGCAGTTGCCGCGAGATAGCGCGTGCAAGTGTCATCAATAATCAAGATGGGATCACCCTTCGTGCGTGATAACCTCATCTCCATTGAGTTGCAGGCAGGGCAGGAGTATATTCAGGCAAGGAGAATTTCGCTCAGACTGTGAGTTAAACACATCTGCATTGCAGGTTATTATGATTAGAATAATTATGATTAGATAGTGCCAGTTTCACCCCCATGCATGCGTAATGGGCTGCCCATTGTTTTTTGCTACACACACGAGCAGTCAGGTTCATTACAGTGTGCTAATTACAGGTGCTACTCAGGTGCTAATCACAGAGACTGCTTTAGAAATAATATGATTTAAGGAGCGTAAACCTTGTTCAATCAAACATTTGCCTTTGCAAATGTACTGTGCAACTGTAGCCTCACATCCACAATAGCAAAAGCAGTTCAGGCCTTCGTTAACAGTCAACAATCCATGTTAACGCTCCTCTTGAGGGTCAAAAGGTTATCCGACACTTACTTCTTCGCATGTCAGCAGAAGAGGACATTTCAAGGTCCTTTCAATAAGCCATAAAAATGCTTAGGTCACCGCTGAAACAAAAAGTTTTTCAATCGCTCCGTCAGACCCATGTCCTCAGAAATGTCTAAAACTGCCCTGTGCCCATTGACCTTTGACCTGTGACCTCCAATTTCGGCAACAGTGATGGCTTTTCTACCATGATGTATACACCGACTATCACGAGCCTAGGTCGAGCCGTTTAGATTTGTGCCGCAATTCTGCATTCTCTCCTATACCTTAAGTTAAGGAGTGAATGTTCCCCCTTCTTTACACCTCTTGACCTTTGACCTTTGACCCCGCAGCTTTCGACATCCCCAACTCGTTTTGACGATCCCCCCAACGGACCAAATATCGTGACCGTACGTCGAGCGGTTAATATTGTGCCCAACTGTTGACGGACGGACGGACGACCGGACGACCGGACGGACGATCAAGCGATTCTACAAGCTGCATCTGACTATGTCAGATGAGCTAAAAAACCCACCAACCTACCAATAAATTAATAAAATATGTTCAGGTTTATTGGGGCTGGATCGTAAGCGCAGAGATATAAGCGTGCATGCATGCAGATATAATTATTATATAGACTGACAGCACAGATACAGTGTATCTGTTTTGTGTACTTCAGCAAAGAAAATCCTCGTTCACATGTTGCAGTAGAGGGGCCAAACACATTGAGGTTGAGATTTACGCTGATCACGTAATGACGATGCTGGCCTGGGGGGCCGGTTTACATGTTGCTGTGTGCA